CCCCACACGACCCCCTGCAGCACAGGTGGCCCCACAAGGACAGGCCCCTCCAACAGCACAGCCGCCACAGCAGAGGGCGCAGCAGCCCCCACCAGTCCTGATGCAAGAGCTTTCACCTGCAGCACAGGTCGCCCCACAAGGACAGGCCCACGCCCCGGCACCACACATTTCTGCAGCACAGCTTCAGCATCCTCCACAAGGTCAGTTGCCCGCCCAACCGGCCGGCATGCCCCCAACCTCAAGCCCGAAGCAGGCGCCAGCCTGTCTACAAAAGGCTATGGAAGACGCGGGGGTCACATCCCTTGCTGTGGATCGCAGACTTCGGCGCGTGATGAAACCATTGTCAGATGGCACGCATCGTGTGTCGGATCATGTCCGGCAGCTATGGTCTGATCTTGGCACCAGGAAACAAGTAGTGGAAATGTTCGCCAACTGCGGCTTCCAAGCGGACTGAGTTTGCAAACTTAACGTGTGTGTGTGTGTGTGTATGCTATGTAGCTTTGGACACAATCTATTCTGTGTATGTGCGTTGCACTGTTTGTTCTCGATCGAGTGTGCGTTGTGTAGTGCAGTGCAGCAGCAGGACGCGTTTATCAAGAGATTTTCGTTCACGACGACGAGAGAAAACGAGCTGCAGGTGGAAGTCCCGTTCGAATATTTGAGCAAGGAAGAAATGTCGACGGAGCACGGGCTGTCCGAGCTGCTTGTACGTGTGAGGGAAGTATAGGGTTTAGGGTTTATATAGGGTTTCGTTTAGGGTTTCTATAGGGTTTCTAGGGTTTATAGGGTGTTATAGGGTGTTATAGGGTTTAGAATTTAGGGTGTACATGGGTTTATAGGGTTCTTTCATTGTCTAGTCATCATGTTATGTTAGAGAGGGATCTGTCCTAAACCCTTATATAAACATACACAAACCCTGTACAACCAAGTAAACCCTATATAGACACTATATAAACCCTGAACTTTATAAACCCAAAAACCCCAATATCTCCTGTGAACTTACAATGGTTTCTACATGTATGCTTTGAATCCTGTTGACAGCCCGAAAACAAGTACATCAATGTGTAGCGTATCTGAACGGCCTCTGAGGGATGACATTGCGGAAGTCATCCGGAGGGCAGAGAAGGAACCTGCTCGCTACATCAGGCAAGTAGAGGGTCTATTTTTGTCCGAGCTGGTATTCTGCTACATTGTACATACATAACCCACGCAGTGAGCAGGCGGCATTCCGTGAAGAAGGGTGTTTTGACATACTACATGGAGCTGCGGGTGAAGGGCCACGCGAAGCCTCTTGTATTCATACAGTACAATCGTAAGAACTGATGATGCCAGGCATGTTCATTTTAGGGATTATTTTTGGTTTAGTAGGGTTTTGCAGGGTTGGTATTTCATAGGGTTTTTTGGGTTCAGGGCCGTGGCCTTTCGCAGGGTTTTCGGGCATGAGGGCTTGCGTTTCGGAGGATTTTTTGGGTTTCAGGTTTTGGGCCTTTGACCCCTTTTGGGTTTATATTGGGTTGATATAGGGTTTATATAGGTTTAGGGTTTATATAAGGTTTTTTAAGTAATAATAAGGTTTATAGGGTTTCACGCCGCCTGCTGGATAAGGCAAACCGCGAAGACGACAGTGCAGCAGCAGCAGGAGATGGATGTGGATGATGGGCCTGGGATTCACATGGATATGGATCTCGGACAAGTCTTGGGTCAAGATCCTGGGGATGTGCCCACTGCGGGTTGTTTGATTAAATTTGGCATACTTGAACTGTTTTCTTGAACAAAGAAGACCAAAAGAGGGTGTCTTTTTCATTCGGCCCCAAGCTATCCTTCTTATAGGGGTTTAGGGGTTTAGGGGTTTAGGGGTTTAGGGGTTTAGGGGTTTAGGGGTTTAGGGGTTTAGGGGTTTAGGGGTTTAGGGGTTTAGGGGTTTAGGGGTTTAGGGGTTTAGGGTTTATAAGGGTTAAGGGTTTATAAGGTTTAGGGTTTAGGGCTACAGGAGAGATGTCAGCAGCTGCGAGGGCCTCTTCTGACCCGGTGGTTCGAGAGAAGTTCGAGGCAGAGGCCATGAAGACCCTAAAAAAACTTGGTTTCCCGGCTACCGAAGATCTGGCGGGGCCCAGCTTGCACAAGGTGACTGCTTGCTTGACTCGCCGCCTAGTGGTTCTGACTGACTTGATCAAGAACCTGGAAAAGTCTTCAACACCAAGTGCACCAAGCGCAACGGATTCGAAGGAGTCCAAGAAGCTAAGCATCTGCGAAAAGCACCCCGGCGTGTAACACTCCCTCACCAAATCCATCCAAAGGCCCCAAATTTACGTCATGGGTATCAATCTAGCTTTTGTATAGTTCAACTCAGGATGCTGCAGAAGGTGCAGAGCACGTACGATGCCATGGATACCTTGACGGATGACATTTCGAACTTGCAGAACGAGGGCCTTATTGAAGGCTTCGAGCCGCTACTCATTTGCAGTGTATATATGAGCAACTATGTAGGCCTTCGGCCCTTCGGCTCTGTGTCTGCCCAGACCCCGCCGCGCAGGGTTTAGGAGTTTAATTTTGACGGGAGAAGCCAGAAAGTAGTGCCCCCAAATAGTACCCTATATGATATTGGGTCATTCTAATTTGGGAACCATTATAAAGGGGATCTACTTTTTGTGATGCCCTTCCACAGCTTGCCTGACAAGGCTCCAGGGCCAAGTCGATGGCAAGATTCTGGAGGCGCGCCGATCGTTCCCTGTCCTCAGATGATGTATCCGGTTTCTGGCTGTGTACTTTTTCGGTGCCTAAACTAAAATACCCTATAACCCTATACACCCTACACCCTAAACCCTGAACCCTAAACCCTAAACCAGAGGGGGTCCGCTAGGCGGGTGGCAAAAGAAACCCTAACCCCAAACCCTACACCGGCTTGGGCTTCAGGGCGCAGAGTTCGGAGTTTAAGGATCTGAGGTCTTGGAGTTTGGCTGTGGGGCTCAACCCTCCCCATGCTTGATTCCTTCAGCCCAGGCTGCTAGATTCCATGGATATCGAGAGCCGCGCCAGGTCAGGAGTTAAGCTCTCGAGCATCCCATTAGGTCATTAGGTGTTCATGGGCTTCCATGGTGTGTGAGATGCACTGTGCTTTTTCAGCCTGTAGCAAACCCAAAACCCTATAAAACCCTACAGACCCTATACATATTAAAGAATAGAGGCCCATATATATAAATATAAATATAAATAAATAAATATATATATATATATATATATATATATATTTATTTATTTTTTTATTTATTTAAATATATGTATACATACACCATATGAAACCCCCTATAGCCCTTATATAACCCTAAACCCCCTGAACACCCTAAACCCTAAACTCCCTGAACCAGAAAATCTCAACCCACACAATCCCTAAACCCGAGTATATACCTTATCTATAAACCTAAACCCTATGTAAACCTTATATAAGCCCTCAACCCTATAACCCCCAAACCACAGCTCCTGGAGGATTCTTCTTGCCGGAGCTCGATCCACCGATGGCAGCCCGAAGGCGAAAGCCCGTCCAAAGCCTAGTGCCGGCAAGCCAAAGGTGAAAGTCAACGCGAAGGTGAAGCCACAAGCAGATGCTCCTGCCTCTAAGAGGCCTAAGAACCAGTGAACAGACTTGCATTGGATCTGCTTACACAAGCCCCATGTGAGATTGCTCGCATGTGAGGGCTCGTGAGTTTTGAGGGATGGATGGCGCAAGATTGTCGAGAAAAAAACATCGTGCTTGCGGGAGGTTAGCCCTCAGCAACACATGCTCACGGGGTTGGGGTTAAGCTTATATATATATATATATGTATATGTATAGAGATTTATTTAGCTAGTTTTCTATGTGGTGTATATAATATATATATATATATACAGATATCTTCTTTATATAGGGTTTTTATGTATAGGGTATCTATGTATATGTATATATATATATATACATACAGATACATATATACATATATACATATATACATATATACATATGTACATATATATATATATATATGGGTTATATATATATATAGAGAGAGAGAGAGAGGGAGGGTTTAGATCGTCTATAGGGTTTAGGAGACGGCTTGTTTTGTACAACATTATAGAAGCCGTGCCAGGGGATGATCGATCTACCTCTTCGTTGCCTGCGCTGGAAGCGCTGGCACAAACTGTGGCAGATGGTGTGTCTAACTCGCAAACATTTTTTTGGTGTTCTGCCTAAGACATTTACGCTTCTTCTCATCTTATAAATGGGTTCGGGGGGTACAGGGCTTATATCGGGTTTGCGTGAAGCAGCCCAGGCTCCAGCCAAGCAGGTCGGAGAGATAGCCAGGGCATTCCAGGAAGAGGCAGCCTCAGCAACTGGCCAGATTGCTTCAAAGGTGCACAAGAACCATGGTGAGAGGGATTGTCACAGAATCTTCCAACGGTATGGTCTTACATTGAAGGTTCCCATCTGCGAGCTTACTGTTCCGCTTGCCGAAGGAGAACCTCTAAAGATCCCACACTTGAAGATATCGGATTTCCTTTCGAAGCTCTTGCAATCACACCCCCGAGTGCTTTTCGGTGGTCTGGATCCAAGCACAGAGCGGGCGCAGGCTGAGGAAATGTGCTTTCAGTTCTGGAAGCGCTTCCAGGGCTACCAGCCCGACCATGCCGTTTATGAAAAATATTCCGAGCAGGACTGGAAATACATCTTGCCGGTGTGTATACACGCCGACAAGGGCCGGGGCATTCAGAAGAAGCCTTTTTTCTGCTTCTCATGGGAGGTTTGCTTTGGCCTTCCTAAGGACGTGCGACTTCGCTCGAAGACTGGTCCTGCCGATGTGGATGCAAAGCTTTCCTGGACATGCAAGAAAAGAAAACGCGAGCAAAGTCTTGATCTGGACGAGGCAGCAGATTTGGGTGACGCCTGTTCTGTGGGTCGAGGATCCAATTCTGCCGATGCTGTGAATATACCACACAATGGTAGGGGCAACACGTTTCTATCCAGGTTTATGTGCACCGCAGTCCCGCACAAGGTCCTTTTGCAAAGCGACGATATAGTACCGACGATTCTCAACCACATCGCGGACGACTTGACCACATTGTTCTTAGAAGGCCTGCAGCATGGTGACTACAAGTACCACTTGGCCTTGGTGGGCTGCAAAGGCGCACGCATGGTCTTATTTGTACGTTGACTTTTTTGTGTGCTTATTAGCAAAAGCTTGGACCCTTGGCCGCCCCGAAAATTGCACTCCCATTTGTGCTATATATGACAGGAGATTTCGAGTGGCACCATGAAGCAGCGGTTTTCTCCAGGTGCTATGCTCATGTGGGCAGCAAGAACGACAACGAAATGTGCCCTTTCTGCCTAGCAGGGGGCCCCAACTATCCATTCACTGACGTTGGCGACAGTCCAGCTTGGGCCACGACGCTTGATGCATCGCTACCGTGGTCACAAACGCCTCCATTGAATCGGGTGCCGTTTTCGACGTCTCGGCCAGCTTCTCTTTACAGATGTGATCCGTTTCATATATTGAAATTCGGATTTTTCAAAGACCTTGCTGCCTGCATTCTTCTGGAGCTATGCTGGCTGGGGCTTTTCGATTTTTCTGTTCCTGGGGAATTGAAAAACATCACGGATCGCCTGCAACGAGCACATGCCCTTTTCCGACTTTGGTGCCTCGCCGAGAAGAAAAGCCCAACGATTCGCAAGTTTTCCTTGAGTGTGCTGCACAGGAAGCGGGCCTCCAGGCACCCATTCCTGGGTGGAAAAGGAGCAGACTCGGTACTGGTGCTCATGTTCCTGGGTTTTTACATCCGGCTCCGGAAGCCCGAAATCTCCGTCCCAGATACCCAGAGGCTACTTTCTGCTATGCTGCAAACGATCGACGGAGGGCTCACCTTCACTGGTATGTTGCAAAGCCACAACATTTTTATGTCTGCTTACTGTGGTCGCTTGATGCATCAGTCGGGCCTTCGAGTACTTCGTGGCTACACTTTCCTTGCCGCTCGGAGTATCCAACAAGGAACTCACCTTTATGCGCTCAGACCCAAGTTGCACTACTGCCATCATCTGTTAATCGATTTGGAGCGACAGATCAATGGCAACCAGAGCCACGATGGCAACCAGGGCCACGATGGCAACCAGAGTCCCGTACTGAATCCGGGGCTCTGGAACTGTGAAAGCAATGAAGATTGGATTGGAAAGGTATCACGCCTTTCCAGAAAAGTGAGTCCCCGCTTAATATCCCTCAGAACGATACAACGTTATCTCGTAGCTATTCGTCTCACCCTCAAAAAGCATGGACTCTGAAGTGCAAAGCTTCCGATGCACTCCGGGTGTACCCAAGCAACATGAACGGGTTGTCAATGCAAAGCTTCTAAATTAAGGGTGCTACATAGTCAAGGTCAGGAGCTGCATGGGACCAGCTGTTTCAGATGGAGCCAAGGGACACCAAGATGGATCTGCATCGCCGCGCACGCAGAAACGCCACCATGCAACCCTGACCCTCTCTAAACTTCCTTGGGGAGGAGGTTGGAGAATAGGGTTGGTGATTGAAAGGGTCGGAGATGCCACCACGAAAGTTCTGGGTATTTGCTGCAGTTGCTGAAGCCGTGTCCTTTGCAGCCGACACCCTTCTCCAGAACTATGAAGCTTCGAGGCCCCATATGCCCAAACCCTATATAAACCCTATATGGACCCTAAAATACCCTAAACTCAACGGCTGCAGAATCCGTTCAGACGCATGGCTACATCAACCTTATACCCAAAAGCCTAAACCAGGTAAATCTTCAAGCCGACATTGAGGGCCCATATTCCCAAACCCATATATAAACCCTATATAAACCCTAAGATACCCTAAACTCAAGGCTTGCAGACCCCGTTCAGATGCATGGCTACATCAACCTTATAAAGACCATATGTTGTGCCCAAAAGCCCAAACAAGCTAAATCTTGGACCCGACACCCTTCTGTGAAGCTTCAGGCCCCATATGCCCAAACCCATATACCCTAAACTGAAGGCCTGCAGAACCCGACAGACGCACGGCTACATCAACCTTATAAAGACCGACATGTGTTGTGCCCAAAAGCCCAAACAAGCTAAATCTTGAGAGCGTTTCCTCCAATAAGGCTAAATTGCCGACGGCGTTTCCTGAAAGACACCGAAACACCCCAAGTCAGTTTTGTCAGGCCCAGGGCGTTTTTTATCTGAGATGCTAATTTTTATGGTCTTTTGGTCTTCGGGCTTTTTTTTTGCGCAAAGGGTTCTCAAGGTAGGGTTTAGGGTTTGGGGTTTGGGGTTTAGGGTTTAGGGTTAGGGTTTAGGGTTTAGGGCTTAGAGTTTAGGGTTTAGGGTTTAGCGGTCTTCGGGTTGGGGTTTCTTGTTGCTTCAGGGGTTGTCGGGCTGGAACTGAAGCCTAGAAGTTGAAACATGCTGAGGACTTTAAGGCTTTAGGGTTGAAGATTTGGTTCAGGCTTGAGATGAAGCTCTTGAGTTTTGTGCAGGGTTTGCGGTTTAGGGCTTGGCTTAGCTTAGCTGTTCTTAAAGGTTTGCGGGGTGTGGGCTTGGGATTAGGGTTTTGGGGCTCAGGGTTAAAGTTTTGGATTTGGGGCTCACTTATGGTCTTGGAATCGGCCGTTAAGTTTACGAGTTATGGATGTTCCCCTCTCGTGTTTGCAGGCTCACCCAACAAAAAACAACCCCAAACCCCAGCCACAACTCCTAGAAGCCCGAATATCTGGCTCGCTAGCGCACCCCAAACCCTAGACTCTAAAAGCTAAACCCTCATAGCCCTACTTGGGGTCCATAAGGGCTTTTGCCTTACCCGCAGCCACGCCAGCACTTCTGGTTGACAGGCCAAACAAAGGGCTACGAAGACCTACTTATTGTTTTGGGCCTAAACCCTAAACCCTAAACACTAAACCCTAAACCCTAAACCCTAATCCCTAAACCCTAAACCCTAGGGGGGGGGGGGGTGCCTTGGTGTTTCGGTTTGCCCCAACCTGGATGACTCATAGACCACTCATAGACCCTAAACCCAGCACTCATAGGGTTCAGGGTTTAGGGTTTGGGCTAAACCCACTCCAGGTCCCTTAGGCCCTTAGGGGCTTGGTGTTGGATTCCTGGCTTGCGTTGCAGGTGGTTTTGGCTTCGCATGCGCAGCTATGGCGTTAGGGGCTGTGAGGGTTTCGGGTTTAGGGTTTAGGAGTTTCATATCTAGCATTCACTGAAATGAGGACTGTCTGGCTAATTGCCCTTACCACAAAACCAAGGAGTGTGTGACAGTTGACTGCTAGAGGATCCTTTTTCGAGGTGTTCCATACATCTTTGAAACTAAAGAAACAATTCCTACCATAAAACGACTGTGTAAGAAACTGAGCCCCTAGATCTGAAGATTTGAAGCGATATGCGGTCACCTTGTCCCTAAGAAACCCTAAGCCCTAAACCCTAAACCCTAACCCTAAACAAGCCCGCGAAATTCCGAGGCTCGCGCATATTCTGTCGCACAGCACAGTACTGCCTCGGTGGCACAGAGCCACAGCCCCCATCAGTCCCAACACCTCCCCCCACCCCCCGAATTTGGTCTAGGGTCTAGGGTCTCACGTCTGGCGTTTAGGGTTTCGGGTGTGGGGTTCAGAGTTTAGGGCTTGGGGTTCAGGGTTCATACCCTACACCCCTCCAAGCCCTAAACCGTAGCCCCGGGCCCTATGAACCTAGAACCCTAGTTCCAGAACCCCTACGCCTTGAAGCCTAACACCTAAATTCTGCCTTTAGGGTTGAGGGTCGAGGGGTTAGGCTTTTAGGGTTTGGACCGTCATGACATGTCTTTTCGACTACTTTGTCCGGCGTAACATCTCGCAGGTTTTCAGAATGCGGAACTTGAAAGTGACAATCTTGGCACCAGTAATAGCCAGTGTTGTTATAGTCCAACAATGCTCCTTGATCTCATCTCCAGCGCACAGCGAACAGGGTATCGCCAATGGATAGTGACTTTTCAAACATCACGGCAGGGTCGAGAGGAATAATTCTTCCAGGAATTCTCCATGCTTCTCTGTTGCCCTTAAAGCCCGAGCTGCTATGCCCCCCCCCCCCCTCCCCAAGTTCAAGAGTCAGAAGTCCATCAGCCTGGAATTCAGCAACAACCTTTACAGGGTTTAGAGCTTTGGGTTCAAGGGTTTGGGTTTTGGGTTGAACCCAAAACCCTATACGACCCCTACAGCGGAATCCTAAGTGAGCCTCCCTTCATCATCACTCATCCCTTGCCAGTCCCTTAAGCTGGGGATTCTTTGGCTTGGATGTTGGGGTAGAGCGGTTTTAGTATGGGCCCTTAATTTGGGAACCGTAAACCCTAAACTTAACCCTGAACCCTAACCCCCCCCCCTCTAATTCTCCCCCCAGTGATATACCCTTTTTCAAGCCAAGGGCCATATACTTCAGAAGCCTCTAAGGAAGGTCATGGGCCATAGTGACTTGGTAGCCCAGTACCCATATTAAAAAAAAGAGCGCTCTTGTGTGGGCTGCTTACTTTATCTCGGTTGCCCAGGAACCTAGAACCAAAAAGGGTGCCCTTTCTTGCTTCAAGGGTTCAGAAGGGAACCTAAACCCTGCAAAAAGGGAATGAAGGTACTACTGGGCATCCCAGCTCAAGGGGGGGGTTTAGGTTAGGGTTTAGGGTTTAGGGTTTAGGGTTTAGGAACCCAAAAAAGGGAAAAGGGTACCACTGGGCTACCAAGTTGAGGGACCCGCGCTGTGTGAGTTGATCTTTGGGTTCAGGGTTTAGGGTTTTAGGGTTTTAGGGTTTTAGGGTTTTAGGGTCTTAGGGTCTTAGGGTCTTAGGGTCTTAGGGTCTTAGGGTCTTAGGGTCTTAGGGTCTTAGGGTCTTAGGGTCTTAGGGTCTTAGGGTCTTAGGGTCTTAGGGTCTTAGGGTTTTGGGTTGTCGCTCCAGTTCGGGAGCACCTACAACAGAAGGGGGGTCAGGATAAGGCGAAGCGCTAGTTTCTGGGACTACGACTTGGAGGTGGCCCTAAACCCTAAACCCTAAACCCTAAACCCTAAACCCTAAACCCCCTCTAAGAAGGAGTTCGGGCTTTAGGGCTTCTTGGCGTTCGGGTTTGCGGGTTGGGGGACCTGAGTCTAACACTAGACGCGGCAGTCTGTCTTGGAATACATTCGGAACCCTAAAAGCCCTATACCCTTTAAACCCTAGGAACCCCAGAAACCCTAAACTCTAAACCCTAGGACGCACAGAAAAAAACTCCACACCCTAAACCCTAAACCCTAAACCCTAAACCTTAAACCCTAAACCCTCAACCCTAAACTCAGTTCTTGTCTCAGCTCTGAGGGCATGGCGACCCAGCCATTTGGTCGAAACAGCAAACCTTGCAGTTGGGAACCCTAAACCCTAAACCCTAAACCCTAAACCCTAAACCCTAAACCCTAAACCCTAAACCCTAAACCCTAAACCCCAAACCCTAAACCCTAAACCCTAAACCCTACTTACAAAGTCAAAAGGGCTTCCAAGCAGGATATTTTTAAACTTAAGGTGCGATCTTAGGGCTTACGGGCCTCAGAGGCCTCTGGGTTTAGGGTTTAGGGTTTAGGGTTTAGGGTTTAGGGGTTAGGGTTTAGGGTTTAGGGTTTAGGGTTTAGGGTTTAGGGTTTAGGGTTTAGGGTTTAGGGTTTAGGGTTTAGGGTTTAGGGTTTAGGATAACTCCTCCCACTCGAGGTCAAATCACCGCCTCGTGGTTTGGCTTATATGGCTGCGCTGTGGTGAGCAGTTCGATGATACGTTGGGTCAAGGATGGGCTGTTCGGCCTTATAATCCCTATAATCAACCTTATAAAAGGGCAACCTTATAAAAGGGCCGTTTTAAGGGGTTATAGGGTATAATAGCCCGTCCTGGAGTGAAGGATGAGCCGGACATTTCAATCTCAGACTTTGCAGCCCTCTCTAACTACGTTTTGCCTGGGGCCACTACACTTCAAGACTACGTTTGGGGGCTCTACAAACATTAGTTATATTGCTTTCTAAAGATTATATAGGGACTATAATTAAGGGTCATAAACCTTACATATTCTGTTCAAACCTACCGCTGTGCATTCAGAGACACGTCTCCACACTGGGGCGCCCCACCGTGTAGGCAAGCGCCCGACAACGGCAATCTACGGCATGTACAAAGGACCGCGCAGCACTCGGACGACAAAGATGCGTAGAACTGCAGCTCGGATGCTCAGGGTTTGCGGTTTAGGGGCGACACGCCCTGAGCCTTCGACCCTAAACCCTAACCAGCGGCTGGTAGATCAGAGTGCTGC